AAATTAATTGTCTTAAGATGGAAACTTGGGCGAGTCGCTGTTAAGAGCTCATATTAGTTTACGGCGCTTGTAAACGAGGACAAAAACAAAAGAACACAAAGAAAGACAAACATAGCTGTGTTCGTGTTGTTCGTAACTAGCAAAATCACGTACTCTTCAGCACCACAAACTTAACGGCGTACTTCTGTTCTACTTGTGTTGAAATGCAAAGTTTATACAGTTAAGGCCCGTTCACACACTTGCCACCGAGGAGGACCGGCTGAGACGAGACCGGTTTTTAAGTTTCTCGCGACAGCTTAGAACCCGCTCCGCAGCTGTGCCCCAGCTCCCAAGCCGTCGCCAAAGGCTTCAAAACCAGTCTTGTCTTTCTCAATCCTACTCAGTTGCAAGTAAGTGAACGGGCCTTTATTGGAAGCTTAAGAAACAAAGGGCGTGACGAGCGTCTCATTATCGCTTCTCAGACCATCAGAATGCGACATTCGGTGACAGCGACGCTAAGGAACCATTCACGAGGCAAGGGGCCGCGAGCATGATAGGCTAAACCCTGCATTTCTTAAATTGCCGGTGGCAATACATAAGAGGCGCACTTAGTGGTTCGTACGCAATGTAGCGACGTTCTTTGAAGCGTCAATTGCGTGACGGTGCATGTTTTAGGAACCAAATGTCGGCGCGCAACTGCGGAATGAACCGAGAGACGTCATTATGCTCCCGCGAAAAGTGCTTCGTCATGCTTGTTCGTTCTTGTTACTTGTTAGAAAAAGTATGAGGACCTTATTAAAAGAGTTACTGTAACACCTAGAGTGCCTTCATGTGCGCTTCGCATAGAGTGATGCCAACTGCCTGTTTCCCTTTCCCACACCCTCTTCCACCGCCATTTTGTTTCTCTCATTGTTTCCCTGTGCGCCGGAAAGTGGCCTTTGTGTCCATCGGTAATCCCATCCGAGGGGGGAAATGCTAATCCTCCCTCCGTGGGTTCCACAACGCTGCTCCGAACTTCTGAGATAAAGTGCTTGTTTCCGGGAGGGTTATAAGCCCCACGGATTATCGCCGAGGAACAAAATGGCTGCTGGTTTGTCGGCGAGTGGTATTACAAAGGGTGGCATCACCCTAGCAAAGCGCACATGAAGGCTCCCTAGTAACACCTATACTTCTTGAAAGTTCAGTGCAACCTGATGACAGTGATAAGCAAATGCTTGCTTCTTTTTCCACGTGAAATAATCGCGCAGGTTCTGAGCAGAACAAAATAAATGGTGCGGTTTGAGATCCATAACAAGTGGCGGTGCAATGACCCTAAACCGGATGTTATATTTGGGTCCAGTAGCGCTGTCGTGATCGTTACAGACGTTTGTTTTTTTGAAGTTGTTGCAGGGTTGTTCTGAAGTCTGTACGTGTCGGCCGGTTATGGAAATGTTTCCTACCTTGGGAATAAACCTCGCAGCCTCGTGCGAAGTAACATGCTTTGCGCGGCTCGCTGAAAGCGAAACTAACCCTGAAATAGATCCGCGAAAACGAAAAGTCCCGCTGCGTCTCTACCGGATTCAAGGACGCCAGAGTTTCCCCGGCTGCGGATAGGAGATTCTCCCGCTGTGCCCCGCCGAGATCGGCCACACAGCAACGAACACGTGAAAATCGTGAGGAGGAAGATTCGCCTATGCAAAACAAGCAATTATTTGGGGGGCTCCGTCTAGTTCCGCGGCAAAGACGCATCGACGCGTTCTTTGGGCTACAAGTGGATTTTGGGGCTGTACATCACGCGATGCCGCCACAGCGGTACGATACTTCACCCGTGATTCGTCTACGAATAAAACAACAACAAGCAATTGTCGCTTTAGTTATGTTTTGTAGGTTTTGACAAAACATTGCGGGCCTGAATGCGACGGTAGCGATGGAGACTGGAATCAGTATTTTAATTGCTATTACTCGGTGACAGGTATCAATGCCCTCGTATACATTGACAATTATCGCGTAATAAAATGTCCATATATTAGATTACGCGATAATTTCCGATGTGTCAGAGGTACTTGTAGTATTGAGGCACTCTTTTCCGATAACGTTGTTCAGATATTATCCCTCAAAGCATTAACTGATGGAATATTCGTTTTCTCTCTGAAGGGTATTGCTCTATTGCGTTTAAACGTACAATTAGTTGCCTTTAAAAAAATGGTAAAGCTTTATTATCTCAATTTTTCAAATATTGTGGCATAACGCACAAACACAAAAGTTGGACTTCACAATATATTTTTTCTATTTTCATATTAAAAATGCAGGCGCCTGTGAAGGGAGTTTTGAAGTCATGTTCAAACGAACCGGCCGATCCAATTGAAAGAACAATAATATTTAACTAACCTTTACCTCAATAAGCAAACAAAACTATTCAGCAGACCAGAATATTCTGAGTCGCCCATAATACGTAATTTTAATAGTTTCCGCAAAATAAAGAAATATAGTTCACATATCTCTAACATGATACCTCCATAATTTCAAGAGCAAACTGGTTGTCTTCTTGTATGATCTTTATTACCATAAACAAACTGTACGACATTGTCCAAACAAATAACGAATCTTAGCACGCGGTGTTGCGTTGTAATTGCTGTGATCAACTACAGCTCTGAAGACAACGTAAAGTTCACAAAATGGAATGGTTTGACCATCGTAGAAGCAATAGTGCTGCGTACAATATCCACTGAAAAGGACGGGGCTGTATTTTACACGCGCCTTTGAGCCAGGCGCTGGGCTTGAACAGCTGCCGAAATTTCGAGACAATTAGCGTTCACGAGGCGCGGCATATATCTGAAATGTGTTCGCCGGACCTTTGGCAAACAAATAACCTACCGAGACTACTGGAGTGGCCACTCGAACACACTTTCCTGGCCTGCCCAACGATAACGTCCGCTATAGAGTTGAATCACCTTGCCTTTACCTAGTAATAATATTTACTTTAAGCTTATTACTTACTATACGCATTTCAGGAGTTACAGAAAAAACACAACGAAGTATGTTACTCGTTACTTTCATATTAAATGAACACGTACCCGATTTACTTCACCTAAAAAAATTTAAAAAACGCGTTATCGTAACCGATAATAAAAAAATAACGCGCGTCAATTTTCTGTTACTCTGTATTTATGAATTAAAACGGTTTTCTGTACTGACGTTACTGTACACATAAGCGCCATATTTTAAGGAATAATTTTGAAGGTATGTGGGATGGGTGTAAGAAATCATACGATCTTCCGCCTAGAAACAAAAACAATAATTATTTGAAGTCTTGGGAAGGCGTTAAATGAGTATGGTAACTATAAGTTATCCGTTTTCGGTGACGCTGTTACTTGTAACGGGTTACCGCCAACACTGCAGTCATAAAATTAGGAACTCTAACTGCGTCGTTTCTTTTTAATATAATTTTACACGCGAACTGGCCATGAAACAGCTAACCCGAATATGCAACCCCTGATTTTTTTTTCTATATCCATAGAACTTAAAAGAGTGGTCTCAAGCTCATTTGAGTATGGGGGCCAGATATATAGCCCACACCGGAAAGGTCGAGAGCCAAAGTAAGACGGAAAGGGGTGGGAGGGTCTCAAGATTTTACAGAGAAGATACTTCTTGCTTCATAGTTTTTGTTAACTCAGTTTTGCCAGTAACATCTTTCGATTTTATTCATTTATATGACTACTTTGGGCCTTGACCTGATTTGATAACAATATTAAAAATGACACCGCCCCGCCAACGTGCTGTAATTTTTAATCGAATAAGAGAGGCGGTACACTGTTGTTCCCATTCTCAATTCACTCAGCAATTAACCAAGCTCAATATGCCTCTAAAAAAAAAATCAGTTAATTTGACTGCTTTCCTGACGATTTTTATTACAACACTCAAAACAAATACTTGTCTTTTAATTGCGATTTTTTTCTTTTTTCTTTTTTTTTTTTTTTTTTTTTGATGGCGAGAATATTGAGTTTGCAGCTTTATCTTTGGCAGTTGCTGCTGCTGATCGAGTGTTCGCGAAATTGTACATTGCAAACAGCCGGGAAGCCAGAAAAAAAGACAAAGCGAGACAAAGGGCAAATGAACACAGATAAGTATAAACTATGTGAATACGTTGAAAGGGCAGAGCTACTTTTAGAGTGAAAATGAATCGGCGAGAAGAGATACAGCGCATGTTATTTCTAGCGCTCGAAACATGGAAGCCTGGACTCGTAGCCGGTTGCCTGCAGGCCGCGTCCCAACGGGCCGCGTGTTTGAGACCCCTTACTTAGAGACTGTAATCTGCATGACACTACCAATCTCGCTGAGTGTTTCCTCCTCCTGAGCCGCCTAACCTTCAGGAGCTTTCGCTCAATTACAAGTTAATTGCGGCGAAGTACGGTTGTTTTATCTGCGCTGTGTCCCTCGTAACTGCTAAGCCAGTGTAAATCGTGTCAGAAATTTATTTTATCAGCTACTGATTTTTCAACAGATATATATAAATACATTAGGAGCGGCCAGCAAATAATTTTAATAAAAGAGACGCCTAATTTATTTTGACTACATTTAAAGGCTCCGGTCGAGAAATTACAATCATAATTCATAAGACTACAAAGAAACTTAAAATACGTTCAGGGGTCATCAAAACTCATTTGCATAAAAATCTTAATATTCTATTTCAGGCTCATTAAAATAGCAATCAAAGTAGTAAGAGAAAATCTAGTTTAAATTAAATCTAGAACAACTTTTCAATCGATCGGATAATACTATAACCGAACAAACGATTCTCCAGCTGGAAAACGACGAGGGGTTCGCTACCGAAATATCGGAACCCACCCTCTCGAAACCTTAGAGAAGTTCTTGAAAGTGTCCAGCCTTCAACAACTCAGCTTCATAGATCGCTTTCAGGAGGCGGAGAATATCAAGAGCCGTCGGTAGCGTGAAAGGAATCCAGACGTTGGCACTGCCTGCTTCAAAGCGACGCACGTTGACTCAGTTGGGAAAACAAAAAAAAAGAGTACAAAGGTCCTCACCTGTGATGCAAAGTATCCAGAGCTGCGCCGGCGGCCGCATCCTCACATCGGACGCGCACAAACCGAAAGTGAGAGTCCAAGATTCGCGCAACATCGACATGGGACCGGTTTTCTCGAACACCGCGTGGAGCGCTGCTTAGCGCCACGCCGCTGCACCCGGTCTAGAGGCCCCGTCCGACGCCAACAGTGCCATCTAGCGCTGCTGACGGGCAACGGTAGCTCGAGCGGGAGATACGAAACGTTTCAGGCAGAGTCTTTTGTGTTGGCCAACATACGAGGGTTCCATGCGTTACCTCTAGGCTCCGAATTGGCCTAGTCCTTTGTATTGGTTATTTGAACAATATCACCTCCCGGCACCAGCAGTGGCTTTGCTTTAGGCCGGAGGGGGGGGGGGGGGGGGGGGGGGGGTGCTTTTGTGTTGAAACGTGCGAAGCTTTTGCCAGGTCTATTTGGTTCACTTGATATTTGCCATTTTACCAAAGACTTAACATTTCCATTTTCTTAGGTGCTTTTGTGTTGAAACGCGCAAAGCGTGGGCCACGTCTATTCGGTTTTTATTTATTTATTTCTAATACTACTAACCCCATTCGGGGTTGTTGTAGGGTGGTACAGTTTGAAATATTACAAGCAGAAAAAAATATTCAATACACAATTTGCAGGTCAAAATTCAAAGCAAATATAAAAGTCAAGAATGAAAAAAATTAGTAAGCAACTTCAATACAATGGATACATTGCACTTTTAAAAGCAGCATAAAATATTACCGTATTTTCCGGGCTATAGTCCGCGGACTATACATGTTTAAAAGTTGAAATTTCTGGCTGTGCGGACTATCTACGCGTGCGGACTATACAGGAATTATGTTTTTCAACATCGTTTCTTATGACGAGACGAATTTTGTGCATGAAAGGGTATGTGAATGATGATTTATGCACATTATAGGCTTTATTGTGAGCTAAAAAGCAGACATTTGTAAACGTGTGCCGTCTATGTGAAGATTTTCGTGTCGACTAAGCACCAGGTGCGGACTATACACCGGGTGCGGACTATAGTCCGGAAAATGCGGTAGTTTGGGATGAAATGTGGGAATCTACGTAATCAAGGAAGATTTGAATAGAAGAGGAATGAACAACATTTTGAGGCAGGTGGTTCCATTCGTTAATGGTTCAGGGAAAAAAAGAGAATTTGAAGCAGTTATTGTGAGCCACGTCTTCCTCGTAAAGCTTGCCATTGTTGTACCGTGTTAATCGTTTGCTTGTAGGGATAAGATAATTTTCTTTTGGTAGGTTGAAGTGATCGTTCGCTAATTCGTATAGAAATTTAAGTGTAGCAATTTTTGTTCTTTTTTCTAGAGAGGAGAGACCCAGTTGCCTACAAAGTTCAGAGGAAGAGACGTGCCTACTATATTTATTGCAAATAAACCTCGCGGCCATTCTTTGAACTCTTTCTATCTTATTGATGCCGGAGACTGTGTGGAGGAACCAGACGACGTTGGCGTACTCGAGCATAGGACGTATTAAAGTTTTGTAGGCTAGTAATTTAGTGGCAGGAGATGAAAATTTTAAGACTCGTTTAAAGAAACTCAGTTTGTTTAAAGCTTTATTAGTTGTGGAGTGAATGTGTGAGTCCCATCGCAAATTTTGACTTGTGTTGAGGCCGAGGTATTTGTAATCACCGACTTGTTCCAAGAGGTTATTGCCTATCTGGTAAGGAAAGGACTATTGTTGTCTTTTATTGGTTATGGTCATAAATACAGATTTATTAGAATTTATTTCCATCTGCCAATCATGGCACCAATTTATGATGTGTTGAAGCGCATTATTTACGTAAATCTGGTAATTTGGGTTATTTATTTGTGAATAAAATATGCAATCATCAGCAAAGAGGCAAATTTTTACGTTCACATCTTTGACCAAGTCATTTATGTATATTAGGAACAAAAAAGGTGCCAGTGCTGACCCCAGTGCGACTCCCAATGAAACTTTGCCTCTGAATGATGAGTGCGCATTAAGTGCTACGTACTGGTAGCGATCTGAAAGGTAGTCTTCAATCCACCTGAGAATTTTTTCTGCTCCTAGTATAGATTCTAGCTTAAACAATAGCTTTGGATGAGAAACCTTGTCAAAGGCTTTCGACAGATCGATGAATATGGCGTCAACCTGTCCTCTATTGTTTATGACAGTGGAAAAATCGTGAATGCATTCAACAAGTTGCGTCACTGCTGAAAGGTGACGTCTGAAACCGTGCTGATATGGAGTAAGTATTTGGTTATTCTCGATGTGCGTGGAGACGTGCTTCAGAACAATGTGTTCGAGCAATTTACAGCAAGTTGAGGTAAGGGAGATGGGCCTGTAGTTCGCTAATTCGTTTTTGTTTCCAGATTTATGAATGGGGATGACTTTCGCTAACTTCTAGTCTTCTGGGAGTTGCCCTTTGTTAAGTGATTGTGTAAATATTATTACAAGATATTTTGTTACCCATTCGGCGTATCTTTTTAGAAATTCATTTGGTATATTGTCCGGCCCAGCACTTTTTTTGTGTTCAGGTTGAGTAGAAGAGATAAAACCCAGTGTTCGGGTAACTACAACGTCATTCACAGCTAAGACTGGGGGATTGGACGCGAATGAGGTTGCATTACCATTATTTGTTGTAAAGACCGAAAGAAAATAATCATTGAAGGCTTTTGCAAGATTTGCTTTGTCACCAAAGAGCGTTTCTAGATTGGATTTGTTTTTTGAATTGACATAGTTCCAGAAATTCACGGGTGAATATTGAATAAACGATTGAAGAGTGATATTGAAAATTTTGAATTTAGCTGACTTGATTTTTTGTCCAGGATCGCTGTTGAGTGTTGCCATTTTGTTCTTAATTAGGAGAGTTCTGGTTTTCTTTGCCTTCTTACGGAGCCTATTTACTTTGCGCTTCACATGAATGATTTCTCGCGTTATCCGAGGGTTTTTATTAATTCGTGCAGTTCGTTGTGGAATAAGACACAAGACACACGTGTTAACTGCCGTTTTGAATTCGTTCCAAAGCATATCTGCAGTGGTGCGGTCGCTCTTGGACAGTAGAAGAAAGTTATCAAAACATGTAACAAAGAAGTCGAGTACGTCAACGTAATCTGCTCTGTCAAATTTTAAAAGCTTACAAATGTGGGGATTGCCAGAAGTCGGGATGTTCATTTTGAAGCAGCATAAAACCATCTCATGATCATATATGCCATTTAAAACTTCTACGCTGAATTCATCTTTCAGGAAATGATCGGTGACAAAGACGAGATCGAGCATTGATTGTGACGTTCTTTGAATACGGGTATTTTCAGTAACTATCTGGGTGAGGTTATAATAAAAATATAGATCTGTAAGGATATCCGCACCGAGGGATGATTTTGTATATTTCGATAGAGAGTACCATTCTAAATAAGGTAGATTGAAGTGAACTGCAATTATAATCTTAGTGCTCAAATTAATATTATCAATGATATAATTATACAAACTTTTGAAAAACCCCGAAGTGGAAGTAGGAGGTCTATAGACAACAAGTATATAGCAGCACGTATTTTTATAAGCAATTTTACAACACAGGCACTCAATTTCTTGGTAATCGGGTGAGGGGGTACATACAATGCAATTTTTTACAAGAATCGCTACTCCACCCACCGCTAGAACCTCTATCCTTGCGCAGAATCGTATAGCTTGGGGGCGTGATTTCACAGTCAAGAATGCTGTCTGATAGCCAAGTTTCTGTCATTGCTATAATATCAGGTTGGGTGTTCAAAACAGCAGCTTCAAGTTCATCAGTTTTATTTACGATGCTTCGCGCGTTTAGATTTAGTAATCGAAATTCGTAACCACGGTTGACTTGAGTAGGGCTTGGTCACCGTACTGGGGTTCTGGGTTTCTTCAGATATGGGAACCTTATCGTTTATGGCCTCATTCCAAGTGTATACTGTGTCATTTATCTTAATTTTGTCGTAGGTAAGCGTGACCTTATCACCAGCAAGTTTACTTGATTTCGAGCTGTCAAGTAATTTTTTTCTGATTCCCTAAACTCGCTTTGAGTGGTCCTCACTAATCGAGAGTCGTTCATCTTTTAATTTATTACAGTTGCGTACAATATTCAATTTATCTGCAAAGTTTACGAGTCGAAATATTACTGGACGGGTTTTGCCATAAGCTGGCTTCGATCGATTCCATTAATTTTTAGATTTAGTTTTCCACCAAGAATCTCTTTAGTTACTCTATCCTCGAGAGTGCTACTATCTTTGTTAGGTAGTTTAGAAAGACCAAAAATAATTAGATTGTTTCTTCTTCTACGGTTTTCTAAACCATCAATTTTGTTCGAGAGTGATGTGATGGCGGCTTCGGGGCGATTGGTCTTGTCGCAATTTTTGTTCACAACACACCTGAGTCCTTGAAGGCCTTCGAGTTGCAATTTTATTTTCTCTAGTCTCGATGTTGTCACAGCCTGGCTCAGCTTAATTTCCTTAATGTCGACCGGGATATTAGTTAACATTTCTATCATCGCTTCCGGGTCAGGATCGGGATTGGTCTCTATATCTCCGCACAGCATAAGCAAATCAGCAAATCGTGCACGCATTCCACACAACAAGGCAAAACAGGTCCGTGGGCACGGCAGCAAAAAAAAAAGACAAAAGTTATTGCTACGGTAACAGAAAGGGTAGCGTTTTCCTACCTGTGCAATGAACACGAAGGGGTTAACGACTGTCATCATGGCGATGCCACCGTGCCCACAGGGGAGTGCAGATCGCGGGTGGTCTTTTATACTTGGCAGCTCTGGCGCTGAGGTAGCCAGTGTCGATGGCGATGTGAATCTTGAGAATCCAGGTTTTCGGTGAAGGTCCACTGAAGAAAATTTAGGTCTGTATCAGTCGCTGTTTCCTTGTTATCAGTCGTGATGATGCACTCAGCTCGATGAATCGCAGCCTGACAGCTTTTAACGATATTTGCTTGCTATTTGCCATTTTACCAAAAACTTAACATTGCTATTTTATGGAAGTTGGTTTAAAGGCCTTAGGAGAGGGGGGCGGTCTCCCCGCCTCTGTTACATCCGCTTCTGTCCGGCACTCAGTGAAATTCGTAAAAGTAATATAGGTATCCATATAAGAGT